TGCCGGGAAATGAAGGCCTGAGCCCGGGCGCTGGGAGCGAAGGAGGAAGAGGTTCGTCAGCCACGGAGAGGAGGGGCGCGCGAGAGTCAGGAGCCGACGCGAGACCGCAGGCGATGAGGCAGAGGGACAGGAAGGGCTGGTGCGGAGGGGCGGCCAGGGGGGGCCTGGGAGGCTAATACTTACTAAACGGCTGCACGTACTAGACGCCATATGAACTCGAGTGGCCCTGCTCTACAATTCCTAGATGTTAGGAAGAACCTAGTGACCTGTGCGCGATTACGCAGACCGGGGAGTGTTCAGGTTCGGGAGTCGCTGTCACTCTTGACAGCTGTCAGCAGAGCGCGCTGGCCCCCCTCGTCCGGACAAGGGGCTGCACTTTAGGACCAGAGCCTAAGCCTCAAAGTGTCCCTTTCTGCCACGCCGAGACACGGAAGGCTGCCAGTCTGCAAACACTGGGGGGAAGGGGGGTCGAGCAGCGTCTGCGTGCGGCTCAGAAGGCACCCCGACCTCCCGGGCAGGCACCGGACCCGGCTGCCCTCTTCCTGCCCGCACCAGGGCACAGAGGCTTGTGGGTAACCAGGAGGACGTCAGCGCGACTGCATCCCGGGCCGCCGGCCACAGCGAGGACTGCGGGCGGGTCACGTGCCTTGGCCCTGCGCTGCTCCGGGCCAGACCTCCGCACCGAGTGACGTGGGGGTATTTGTCCCAGAGCGATCACCAGAGAGTGAGAAGAAGGAGGCAGTGCTCTGCAAACCCCCAGCCCTTCCCATTCTAGGAAATACGAGTAAAACAATGACAGGGCCGAGTAAACAGTCTGGAAGGGGAGTGCAGATGTAGTTTCCCGGGGCCTGGTGGTAATTACTTAGAACGTCCAAACCCGAGACGTGAACTACAAAAGAAACATACGTAGCGATCAGATGAGGAAACCGATATACACTCTTGCTTTCTGTTCTGAGAATTGCGGAACCCTATCACTACAAAGTGTCATACTCTCCATACACACGACAGTACTCGAGCTATTTTCTATCACTACCAGACATTTCTGATGTGTTCCTCTTTTCAAATACTACCTCGGAATTTTTTTTTGAAGATTTTATAATTCTGGGTTTATGGGTCTTTTGCTCACACGTATATCTATCTATGCATATTGTGCATGCCATTTCCCCAGGGAAGATCAGAAGAGGTGTCACATCTGCCGGAACTGGTGTTAATGGATGGTTATGAGCAACCACATGGGAGCTGGGAACCGAACCCTGGTCCTCTTCAAGAACAAGTGCTGAGCCATCTCCAGCCCACCACCTCAGAATTTTACAAAATTTCTACATTTCAGTGGTTTGATTTCTTTTGTGGGTTTTTTTTTGGGGGGGGTTGTTTTGTTTTGTTTTGAGACAGGGTTTATCTGTGTCACAGCTGTGGCTGTCATAAAACTTGATCTGTAGGCCAGGCTGGATTCAAACTCACAGAGATCCTCCTGCTTCTGCCTCCAGAGTGCTGGGATTAAAGGGGTGTGCCACCACAGCCTAGCCAGTTCACTGATTTTAATGGGCACTAAATGTATTTGTTAACATGACTGCTAATACTAAGGGTAATACTGAAAACAATTCAATTGATTTTACTTAATTAAATTTTTGAGACAGGGTCCCTAGCTGTCCCAGAACCCTTTATGTAGGCCAGGGTGGCCTCAAACTCATATAGTTCTCCTGCCTCCTTGCTTCCCAAGTGTTTAAATTAAGGCCTGTGACACCATTGTAGGGGGGATTACCATTAATTTTTAATTAATTAATATTATTAATTATGCATGGTGTGGTGGCATTCGCCTTTAATCCCAGCACTCGGGAGGCAGAAGCAGAAGGATACCTGTGAAGTTTGAGCCCAGCCTGGTCTACAGAGTGAGTTTTAGGACAGCCAAGGCTGTTACACAGAGAAATCCTGTCTTGAATAAAGAAATAAAATAAAACATTATCAATTTTTGTATGTTAACATCAGAGAACATTTGTGGAAGTGGGTTCCAGAGTTTCACATGTAAATCACATTTCTGCTGAGCCACTTCCCTAGCCTACTTTACCATTAATCTGTAAAGTTTTGTTTTAACCCAAGCTGGCTTTGAATTTATGCCAATCTTCCAGCCTCAGCCTCCAGAGTACTGGGATTATAAACATAAACCACCATTCCGAGCTAATCTGTAACCATTTTCTATTTAATCTTATTCATTTATTTTGAGCTGGGGCTTGCTCTGTGGCCCGGGCTAGTTTCCAAATGGACCCATGCACTCCTTCCTCAGCCTACCTGGTAGCTGAGATCACAAGTCTAGGACTCCTGGGCCAGGCTTTCCATTATGTTAAATCTATCCTTTGTGTATTACTACAATTTAAAGAAGCCAAAATTGCATTTATGAATAGGCAAGTCTGTAAAACAAGACAAGTGAACAAGGGAGGTGATATGAACCTATCTTGACTCTCTCCAGTCCCTTCCACTTCCCTCCTCCTAGAATGCTCCTGCGTTTTTGATCAGGCATTTGGATTTCCCACTTAAGGAGCTCATAAATGTCCTTGGAGATTTTATTTTGGTAAACTGGCATATATAATGCTTTATGTTTTCAGAATCTAACATATTCTGAGGCTCAAACCATTCTTACTCTTTTATGGCAAATGAGCAAACAGCTCCTCAAGATAAACGGGTTCTTAGAGTTATGGCAGTAAAAATTTGGGGGGGGCTTCTCTTCTGAGAAAAAAAGTTTAGATATAGAGGATAGGTAGAAAGATACAATTTACATTTATCATGAAAACCAAATGTCAAGCCTGATAAAATATACAAGCCTGGAGAAAGTGTTCATTGCTCTAAGCAAATGGGTTTCATAAGAAGGGTTCTTATCCCCCCGCCCACCTTTTTTTTTTTTTACAGACTTGTAACCATGCCAGAAAATGTACTTTATGTTTCAAATATTGGGTATGAGATAGTTCATCTGGCTTACACTTATTTTACTGTGCCTGTTTGTAAATGAATATAATGCACGGATAAGAACTTTTTCCAGTATAAAATTTCTCATTGTGAAATGAGAGGAATGATTTTGCATTCTTTATTAATCTTTTCCAGAAAAGTACATGTTTATGATAATGCAATAATTCACTTATGAAATCAATATTAAAATTATTATTGCAAAGCTTATAATCAGAATTTTCAGGGAGAGAAAAGAAAGCTTTGGCCTGGTGTTGGTGATCAGAAGGCAGGAGGATCTCAGTGAGTTCCAGGCCAGCCAGGGCTACATAGTGAGACCCTCTCTGAAGGCAGGGAAGGAGGGGGTAAGTTTTGTACATTTTAATTCAACTGTAAAACGAAACCCTTATGTGGGAAGTTGTCCGACATGCACAAGGGGACCCCTAGCGGCCGAACTGAAAAGTTTTGCTTATTTTTAAGTAGTCCATTCGGTTTAGTTGAAATACACTTTTGTGGATTAAAAGCAGCCTGAATTTCTTTTTTCTTTTCTCTTTTTTTGGTTCTTTTGAAACAGGGATCCCACTGTGTAGCCCTGGCTGTCTTGAAACTCACTTTGTAGACCATGCTGACCTCGAACTCACAGAGATCCGCCTGTCTGCCTCTCATGTACTAGGATGAAAGGCATGCACTACGGCGCCCAGCCCTCAGAAACAATTTTATTTTGTACAGCTCATAATTTTATCATCTGAGTTCTCAGAAAGAAAAAGATCGAGGAAATTTTGAGCCAGGCATGGTGGTACACACCCTTTAAATCTAAGCAGTCCAGAGGCAGACAGAGGCAAGTGGATCTACATAACATGTTCCAATCCAGCCAGAGCTACACAGTGAAATCCTGTCTCAAAAAAATAAAGCCCGGCACTTGGGAAGCAGAGGCAGGCGGATCTCATTGAGTTCGAGGCCAGCCTGGTCTACAAACATGTTCCGGGACAACCAAGACAGCTAAAACTGTTGTTACATAGAAAAACCCTATCAAAAAAAAAAAAAAGATAGATACAGACAGACAGATAGATGAAACAAAAATAAAGAGCCAAAGTCGGTCATAGTGGTGCACACTTGTAATCTAAGCACTCGGAAGGCAGGCAGAAGGTTCAGGGGCAGGGGTTCAAGACCACTTTACGTTACCCATTAAGTTCCAGACCAAACTATGCTACATAAGATTCGGAGGGGGCGGGGATAAAGTTGAAAAAAATTAAAAGCCGAATAAATGAATGGGCACAAAAATGCTTTCAGAACTTTGACTTTCCAAAGCTGAAAAGTTGCCCACCGTAGGAACTGAAGTCTCCCCAACCTGCAATGCTTCTTATCTAAGAGCTACTTTAGAATATATCTTTTGGGGGTGGGAATGGGGAGTCGAGACACGGTCTGTGTAGCTTTGGAGGCTGCCCTGGAACTCACACTATAGACCAGGCTGGCCTCGAACTCATAGAGATCCGCCTGCTTCTGCCTCCCGAGTGCTCGGATTAAAGTCTTGCGCCACCACCGCCCAGCTAGAATGTATCTTAGATGTTGATATTTCTACACAAACTAATAATAAGCGGCAACATCTAGAAACCAATTTCTTTAGTGAAATTCAAATTCCATCTGAAGGTTTCAGCAGCATTCCAGCCCTTCGACCCTGCAGAAGAGAGTTTTCCTTCCCAGTGCTGTCCCTTCTGTTACCCGGACCTCACAACCTCCTCGGCCAACCAGAGACCTCTAGGCAGTTTCAGAGTCTGAAGGGACAGAGGAGAAAACATCAAAGCGATGACGTTAGTGACTCCAAGACGGGTTACCAAGGCGACTATCAGACATTAGTAGACACTACAGAATGTGGGCAGGCAGGGGGTTAAAAAACCGCAGCTTTGGTCCCTAGAGTACAAGACGTCCCCTAAACTAACTCTAACCTAGAAGTCACTTCGCGGTATCAATAACGAGGACTACGCTGTCTTCCGCGCCGCCACCGTGAAGGACGCGAGCGATGCCCAGAATTTGAGAGCTCATTGGATGGTAGTCTCGTCACTCAGAGTGACGTCACAGGGCGAGGCGCAGGAGGTGGGAGCATGGAGACTTCCGGCCCCTCTAGCTTGGGGGCGGGGAGGAATTGGGAAGGTAGGGTTTGGGGGTCCCATCGTCCCGCAGGCGGCGCGCGCTCCCTCCCGCGTCTCCCCTCACCCTCAGACCTGGCCCCGAACTTTGTCGCCCAGCCGACACTCGCCCCTTCGGTGAACCTAACCCCACTCCAGCAATCCCCAAACCCACAACAGCCCTCCCCACATCCTCCGAGGCCGCCGGCCTTGAGCCGAGGGCGCCTTTTGCACCGGTGCGAGGTGCAGAGGTAACCCCGCATCGCTGGGCGTGGGGCTCCCCGAAACGCCGGGCCGACTGCCTAGGAGTGGCCCGTTGCCCGCCGCCTGGGCCTGGGAAGCCTCTGCAGCAGGCCCGGAACCCCCTCCGGAGGAGCGCCAACCGCGGTGGGGCTGGTTTCCGAGGTGCTGAACCCGGTTCGCGATGGTAGCCTTGTGGTTGAAGTTTCCATGGGATGGGGGAGACCTAGCGGGGGAACTCCTATCAGCGCGATTGCGAGTTGGCAGAGTTGCTGCCAGTAGCTGGAAAGCGGCTGGGGGTGGAGAACGGTTTTAGTTAAAGGTACAGAGCTTAGTTCGGGCTCCGGAGATGTGCAGTAACACTAAGATGGTATCCGTTGCCGTCTGCATTTGAACCATTGGAGGTACCGTTGTGTCTTCGCTGTGACACACATGAAATGAGCGAATACTTTTGGACTTTGGGGTTGGCTGTAGCTTTGGCCAAACAGTATGGGAAACAGACTGAAAATGAATCCAGGATGTTTACTTTCTACTTGTATTTTCTGGTTACAGATACAGATGTCGTTCTCCTTTTAACCGTCGCAGCAGATTAGACATTATTGACCAGAAATAAAAAAGCCTTTGGAGGCCATATCGTCTTCGAGAGCACCTTCTTAGAACCCATTTCTGTGTTTTGAGATCGCAAAAGTACCGTTTTCACATCCAGAGCAAAGAAAATACTATGACTATTGGAAATGAGCCTGAAGGAAATTTTAAACCTTGAATATGCAAATTTTTGCCCTTGCATTAGTTTAAAAAAAAACAACCAAATTCTGATATTTAATTGATGCCTTTTTAAAATACTAAATTGTTTACTTCTTTTGCCTAGGTCTCTGTTGGCTAGTTGAAACAAAAAAATAAATATGACCTTCTACAGTTATAATTCATTCTTAGCTATTTTGTGGACAAGGTAAGGTTTGGGATTTCCCACAGATATGTATATGAATTCAAATATGTATATGAATTTCTATACGGGAAATAGGTGTGTAAAAGGATTGGCTTCTGGCTGTATATGGTAACACATGCTTTTAGTCCGAGCACTCAGGAGGCAGAGGCAGGCTTATTTCTGTGAGTTCCAAGACAGCTAGGGCTGTATACCAAGACCCTTTCTCAAAAAAAAAAAAAAAAAGGAAACCAACAAAGCAAAAGGATTGGCATAGTACATAAAACCTTGCCAAATTTTAAATACAGCCTTAGTAAGTAAGAACATACTAAAATTGAAACTACTTTAGAATGAAGGCTGAGGAATTTTGTAGATGTGTGATAGAGGAAAAAAATGGATGGATGAACTAGTTTTAGAGTGGCATTTCTGTTACTGAAAATTACATGAGGACCTCAGATGTAAAAAGCAGTAAAATGACTCATGAACAACCTTGGCCCAGGGCTTGTCCCTGTCTTAAGGGCTCTCGTCAGTTATTATGTATTCAGAATATTACTGAAAACTCATCATGTGTCACATTCATTGTGTATTTTCCCTTTTGGTCATTTAAAGAGTAGATACAGATATGTTTCAAAAATTTGACTAAAGAATGTGAAAAAGGCATTTTCTAGCCCAAAACAAAAACCAACCAACTCTCTTTGTCAATGGCTTTCTTTTCTTTATTCCTTTTTTGTTTGTTTGTTTTGTTTTGTTTTTGTTATATTGTTTTGCAAGACAGGGTCACACTTTGTAACTCTGGCTGTCCTGGAACTCACTGTGTAGACCAGGGTGGCCTCGAACTCACAGACATCCACCTGCCTCTGCCTCTTGAGTGCTGGGTTGAAAGGTGTATACTACTCTGTGACTGGCTGGCTGCCTGTAGCTTTCTTTACTTGGATGTGTTTTATTTTATTTGTTTATTTATTTTGGTTTTTCGAGACAGGGTTTCTCTGTGGCTTTTGGAGGCTATCCTGGAACTAGCTCTTGTAGACCAGGATGGTCTCGAACTCACAGAGATCCGCCTGCCTCTGCCTCCCGAGTGCTGGGATTTAAGGCGTGCTCCACCAACGCCCGGCTTTTATTTTTTTAAGATTTATTTATTATGTTCTGTCTACATGTATTCCTGCAGGTCAGAAGGTTGTGAGCCATCATGTGGTTGCTGGGAATTGAACTCAGGAAGACCAACTAGTGTTCTTAATCACTGAGCCATCTCTCCAGCCCCTAATGTATTTTATTTTTAAGATCTTATGTTCTAGTTTAACTACAGTATTAGGATATAAAAATCATTGGTTGGGGTGCTCAATTCTATTTTTTTCTCTTTCTTTCTTCCTTTTTCTTTTTTTTTTTTTTTTTTTTTTTTTTTTTTTTTTTTGAGATAAGCTTTCCTTGTGTAGCTTTGGAGGCTGTCCTGGAACTTGCTTTGTAGACCAAGCTGGCCTGGAATTCACAGAGATCCACCTGCCTCTGCCTCCCGAGTGCTTGGATAAAAGGCATACTCCACCACTGCCTGGTGCTCAGTTCTAATTCTTATTTTTAAACGCCCTTGAGGAATTTTCGGTGAATTGTATTTCATCACCTAGAGAGAGTCCATAGACACATGGATAAAGCAGTATTACATAATTAGTTGGTCCTCACAGGGACTATGAAGTTGTTTCATTAAGACATTCTTTGTTACCACTAAAGTAGCTAATGGCACAAGTCAAATCATCTATTTTATGAGAGTAGATAGAGACAGTACTATCAAGTATCATCCCTGTTGTTGGCAGAAATATGTTTTTGAATAGATTTTTTTCTAATAAAATGTTTTAAGTTTTTTGTTATTTAATTACTAGAGAGATCATACCCCTGTTCCTGGTACCCTTTTGTTTTATTTTTTCAAGACGGGGTTTCTCTGTGCCCTGGCTGTCCTGGAACTCGTTCTGTAGACCAGGCTGTCTTCAAACACACATAGATCCATCTGCCTTTCCCTCCTGAGTGCTGGGATTAGAAGTATGCAACAACACCACCTGGCCCCTGGTACCTTTTTGGAAATCACAGGACAACTTGTAGAAGTCAGTTCTGTCCTTCCATCGTCTGGGTCCCAAGGATTTATTTAACCTTTATGCCCTTGAACTGTCTCACTGGCCCCTAGATGTTTAAATTAATAGTTGCAGAATTCCTAACTTGTTATAGCAAATTACCATTCAAAATTAGCTTATTAATATAATGATTGAACACAATTCAGCTGTTTAAGAAGTTATATTTTTGTGGGTAGAGGTATAGCTCAATGGCTGAACAGTTGCGTAGCATGTGTGAACTACTTTTGGCTTCAGTTCCCAGAACTGTCTTTATTGGCACTCATCTTTAATCCTGGCACTTGGAAGGCAGAGGCAGGTGGATCTCTGAATTCCAGACCAGCTTGGTCTACAGAGGAAGTTCCAGGACAGCCAGAACTACACAGAGTACCCTGCCTCAAATATATATGTATGTATATGTATATGTATATTTTAAATGTCAGCTTAAAAAAGAAACAAAGTTGTATTTCTGTCTGGGAGGGGATGTTGTAGCTCAATGGTAGAGCACATTCTTAGGATGTGTAAGGACCTGGGTTAATACCCAGCAGCACACAAGTACACACATACACACAATTATATTTCATTCATTAATAAACATCAGTTGGTTACAGGCTTACTGTTTTTTTTTGGGGGGGGCGGAGGTTCAAGACAGGGTTTCTCTGTAGCTTTGGAGGCTGTCCTGGAACTTGCTCTTGTAGACCAGGCTGGGATTAATGGTGTGTGCCACCACTGCCTGGCACAGGCTTATTGTTTTAACCAGATAAAATATCTTTTTTGTTTGTAATAATACATCTCACTGAAAGAATGTTATTCTTGTTTTCCAGATTGCCTAGCCATTTTGTCTATCCTTCCTGCTCTCACTCCCCATCACTTGCATTTCTCCACTTGCCAGATTCTCATTTACGAACGACCTATATGAAAAGCTATGGAAGCAGGAAGTACTCCTATCCCAGTCTACCAGGCAATAAAGTCCATCCTTTACGAACTAGACTCACACAAAAACTACACACAACTTGTTGGCTACAAAATCACCCCAGTAAACCTCAGCCAGAGCAAATCCCAGAAAAGCCTAAGCCAACGAGCCCTCTGCCTCCCAAAGGAGCTGAGACGGAGATTACAGAAGAAAAGCGATCTTTTGGACAAAAAATCATGAATGAACTCAAGTATTATTACAATGGATTCTATTTACTTTGGAGTGACACCAAAGTTGCCGCCAGAATAGTTTGGAGGCTACTGCATGGACAGGTGCTAACGAGACGAGAGAGGCGAAGGGTAGGCAAGAATCATATTTGAAATGGAGAATGTAAAATTAAAATGAAGTAAAACTTCACCTTAAAAATCCTTAGGTAACTTCCTTATCATTCTCGAGGCCCTGGGTTTGATGCAGAGTGCTTCCCCCCTAAGTTGGAAATTATAACTACTGGTGAGAAACCAAGGTGCAAGGACTCCCAGCCCTAGACTAGAGAACTTGTTTCAGTCTGCACTTGTCTTCAACTGGCTGGAATGTCTGCCCACAGAACTATGAGGGTCTTCAGATTTATTTTTACTATTGTAAATTATGTATAAGTATGTGTCTGCTTGTGGGAGTGTACATGCAAGTGCAGGTGTCTGCAGAAGCCATAGGCATCTGATCCCCTGGAGCTGAAGTTTCAGACACTTGTAAGCTGGGAATCGAACTCTTGTCCTCTGGAAGAACAGCAAGTGTTCTTTAACTGCTGAGCCATCTCTCCAGCCCTACAATTGTATTTCTAATCTCTTCAAGGACTTGAGAAACTTCATATTTTTATATATTAGAAATAGAAGCCAGTCAGTGGTAGCACACACCTGTAATCCCAGCACTTTGGAGGCAGAGGCAGGTGGATCTTTTGAGTTCAAGGCCAGCCTGGTCTATGGAGTGAGTTCCAGGCTACATAGAGAAACCATGTCTCAAAACCTAACCCTAACCCAATATATAATGTTGTTAGTATATTAAATACATATGTGCATTTCTAAAACCAAGTGCAGTGCAACATAGTGTTAATCATAGGTACTGAGGGAGTCCAAGATCAGCCTGGGCAACATAATAAACCCCTCCTCTCAAAAAGGAAAAATTAATTTTAACTAATACTGTGTTATTAAAATGTGGACCCTTAAGAGGTGCCACTAATGTGTATCGATTATCATAGATTTCCTTGAGGATAGCCCATAAATGCTACTTCAGGGCTACATTGAAGAGAAGACCTTGCGTTTCAGCTGTAGAAAACCTGAGTTTTTGAGACAGTTTGAGTACCAAGGCAGGCTGTGTTCGGGTGGTGGTTCTTATTTGTTTGGGGCACGTCCTGAATGTATAATATTGCTTATGCATTTATCTCCTTAGCTGTTGAGAACTTGTGTTGATGTCTTCCGATTGGTTCCATTTATGGTGTTCCTAATTGTACCTTTTATGGAATTCTTGATACCATTGTTTCTGAAGCTCTTCCCAGAAATGTTGCCATCAACTTTTGAAAGTGAATCCAAAAAGGTATATAGGTCTTTAAAACTTTTTTTTTACAAAAATTAATAGACTAGTTTTAGTTTTGTAGGTTTACAGGAAAATTGGGCAGAAAGTATAGACTTGCCATATACCACTCATACCCCACCCATTTCCCATCAGTAGGAATTTGCATCGGTGTGGTGCCTGTAACAACTGAATAACCAATGTTAATATGTTATACACTGTTAGTAATGAAAAGCCGTGCTTGACATTGGGGCTCACTCCTTGTGGTGTACCATTCTGTCAGCTGTGTAGCACTGTCCTGTCCACCATCACAGTGTCACATGGAAGAGTTTCACTTTTCTGGAACTCACATGCCATCTACCTGTTTGTACATACTGTTTCTCTTTCAGTCTGGCAACTATAGACATTTTCATTCTGTAGTTTTGCCTTTTCCAGAATGCCATGTAATTTGAATCACACACTGTGCAGCCTTTTCAGACTGGATTCTTCCACTTAGCAATAAGCATTTACAGTTCTTCCACGAGGAACTAGAGAGATGGCTCAGTGGTTAAGAGCACTTTCTGCTCTTGGCAGAGAAACCTGTTTCAGTTCCCAGCACCCATGTGGTGGCCCACAACCACCTGTAACTCCATTTCCAGAGATCCAGTACATAAAAACATGAATACTGCTGGGCAATGGTGGATCACACCTTTAATCCCAGCTCTTGGGAGGCAGAGGCAGGGGGGTCTAGGGGGGGTTGGGGCCAACCTGGTCTACAAATTGAGTTCCAGGATAGCCAGACTGTTACACATGGATCTAGGTGAGTTTAAGGCCAACCTGGTCTACAAATTGAGTTCCAGGATAGCCAGACTGTTACACAGAGAAACCCTGTCTCAAGAAACAAACAAAAACAAAAACCTGAAGCTCTTCCATGAAAAGATACGATTTTAATAATTCTATTTATGAATATACTAGTGTTTTTAAAATCTGTACACCTTTTTGGAAATTGATTGCTTCTAATTTGGGCAGGCATAATAAATAAAAATGTTATGAATATTTGTGATCAGGGTTTTTAACTTGAGCAATTGTGATTGCACATAGTAAGGCTGTAGCTAGCATTGTAAAAATTGCTAAAACTGTTTTCCAGAGCAGCCATGTATTCTGCATTCCATCCAAGAATGCTGTTCTCTGTCTTCCCCAGCATCTGATATTGTACTTTGGATTTTAACCATTCTAATAGGTGTGTAGTGGTTTAGCTTCTTTGGCATTTCTGTGACTTCTTTGAAGGGATATATGTTTATTTTGCCCACCGTGTGTGTGTGTGTGTGTGTGTGTGTGTGTGTGTGTGTGTGTGTGTGTGGTGTGTGTAAATATGTGTATAGTGTACATGCATGTGGATGGCCAGGCATGTGTATGCAAGCGTGTATACCTCATATAGAGTTCTGATATAGACAGACAGATATAGATAACAGCTCTCCACTTTGTGTATTGAGACAGTCTTTCACTTCAGCCCACAGCTCATTGATTTGGCTAGTGTAGCTAGCCAGTTTGGTCCTGTATTGCACAGAGTAGGACTACAGGCAGGTGCAAGTCTGGTCCCCATGCCTGTGTAAGCAAGCACTGTACCCTCTGAGCCATCTCCAAAGCCCCTTTTGGTCCACTTTGTAATTGGGTGTTTTGTTTCTTATTGTTGTTTTGAGTTCTCTGGGTATTTGTATACAAATCCTTTATCAAATATATACTTTGTAAATATTTTCTCCCAGTCTTTGCCAGTGATAGACAAAGGATTCATTAAGCTACACCCCATACTTGTGGTTCATCTTTTCATAGCACAAACACTTGAAATGACCATGCCTTCTGAGTTACAGCTGAAAGCTGGCTAACAAACTCAAGGTCACTTAGATTTTATGTATATGGGTGTTTGATCTGCATGTGTATCACATGCATGCCTAGTACCTGAGGAGGCCAGAAGAGGGCATTGGACCTCCTGAAACGGGAGTTACAGAGGGTAAAGTAGGTGCTAGGAACTGAACCAGGGTCCTCTGGAAGTCAGTGCTTTTAACTTCTGAGCCAATTCATCAGCCCCAAGTTAAATTTTTCTAGGATTTTTATAGTTTTGTATTTTGTATATTGTGGATACAACCCAGTTTGTCTTTATGAAAGTTTGTAAGATCAATATCAGGATTTTTATATGTAAATATCTAGCTTTTCTACTACTATTTATTGAATGTTATATCTCTACTAAATTTTTTTTATTTTTTGTTTGATTTTGGTATGTAATGCTGACTGTCCTGTAGCTCACTATGTAGACCAGGCTGTCCTGTAATTCACAGAGATCCACCTGCCTCTGCCTCATGAGTACCAGAATTAAGGTGTGAGCCACCACATTTGGCTCCTTCTTTTTTTTTTTTTTTTTTTTTTTTTTTTTCCTTTTAGTGATGTTAGGAATAGAATCCAGGGCCCTTTGTGCATGCTTGGCAAGCCCTCTACCACCGAGCTATACCCTTAGATCTTAGTTTGAGATTAAAGTGGAAAATCAAACTATAATATTTAACTGCCTAAAGATGGTTTAATTTACTTAAACTCTAGCTGGATGCCCTTTGCAAGCTGCTAGAATTGCAGGCCTTAATTTACTTGCATTTAAAATAATCAGGATCTAGAAACAACCCACAAAATTCTAATGAAAGTGTTCTTTTTTGTTGTTGGTGGTGGTGGTTTTTCAAGACAGGGTTTCTCTGTAGCTTTGGAGCCTGTCCTGGAACTCACTATGTAGACCAGACTAGCCTCAAACTTACAGAGATCCACCTGTCTCTGCCTCCCAAGTGCTGGGACTAAAGGTACATGCCACCATTGCCCAGCTGAAAATGTTCTTGAATAAGTGACTTAACTATATCCACTTCTGCGTGCCCTGTGCCCAGCATTTTGAGCACAGTTATTTCAAAAATTCTACCATTGCATTTCTGATGATGAACATAGATTTACAACTACTAGTCAGCTGTCTTAAGAATGTACAGTAAGTCAGGCATGGTGGCTCACACCTTTAATTTCAGCACTCAGGTGGCAGAGGCAGGTGGATCTTTATAAGTCTGAGGCCAGCCTGGTCTACATAGTAAGTTCCAGGACAGCCAGGCATATAAAGAGAGAGACCCTGTCTCAAACTACAACAACAAAAAGAATGTATATTTAATTCTCTTCTGTATAGTGTTTTTTTTCAAATCTTTTACAGCACATAACGCACTATAATTATATATTTTCTATTTAAACTGTAAAGTTGATTAGCTTAGAGTTAGTTTCTTTATAGAGCAAAATCTGGGGCTATCTACCAGAGTTTTGCTTAAGTAGCAGCCTAGATGAGGTTAGGAGGTAGAGACTCATCTAATAACGAAGGCTTTCACTGAGGTTTATCATCATTGCGTTAATGAGAAACAAATGCAAGATTAAGGAGACAAGTTAAGTAGACGCCCCTTTACAGCTGTCTGGTCCTTACAAACATATTTAACCAGGCCTGCCGATAGTGCTAGTGTATTACGCGTGGTGGGGATGCGCAGAGGCAAAGTGTATCTCTCGTCATTACCAGCCTGCAGTTGTGATTAACTTTTTCCTCTTCTATTAAGGAAGAAAAACAGAAAAAGAAGATGGCTGCTAAATTGGAAATAGCAAAATTCCTTCAAGAGACAATGACAGAAATGGCGAGGAGAAACCTAGCCAAGCTGGGAGACGCCTCCTCACAGCTCTCCTCCTATGTGAAACAGGTGTCGGGCGTACACTAGGCCAGTGGGCTGGAGTTCCAGAAGAAGCATGCCATCATGGATCATCCAGATTGCTCATAATCTTAGAAATGCCACATATCTAAATTATAAATTTACAACACTTTAAACATTTAGAGTAGTTTGCAAAAACAACAACAAAAGCTACCTTAACGTGATTGTCTTGGAAAGAAAGATCAGTACAAACTTTAGAAATACTCCTGGTTTTTCTAGTGACTACATTTGATCCTAGAAAGATTTTTTTTTTTTTTTTTTTAGGGGAGGTGGGGTAGAGGGTGTTGGATTAGGCATTGAACCAGTCTCCTACTGAGCTACAGTTCCACACTAGACTTTTTATTTCCAGTGAACCACAGGATCCATTCCCATGCAGCGCGTAGTCTCTAACTGCTTTGATATCTCTCACAAGGAGTCTATTAGGAGGTTTATGGTAAGTAGGAAACACCTTGTAATTGTCTTTGTCCCATTGCCTAGGTCCAAACAGGCCACAGGCCCAGCACTAAGGAGATAGTTGGCTTCTCCAAACTCTTCGAGGATCAGTTAGCCCTGGAACACTTAGATCGGCCCCAACTGGTTGCCCTGTGCAAGCTGCTGGAATTGCAGACCTTCGGAACAAACAATTTGCTCCGCTTCCAGCTCCTGATGACACTGAAGTCTATAAAAGCAGATGACGAAGTAAGAGCCTAAGCACAGCAATAGGGGGTCTGGGAGGCATCTTCGGCTACCTTTGTGAAATGCGTTACTCTCTGTTGGGTCTGTTATAGAGTCATTCTGGCAAAATGAATGGTTTAAAAAACCATTACTGGGCTGGAGAGATGGCTCAGAGGTTAAGAGCACCAGCTGCTCTTCCAGAGGTCCTGAGTTCAATTCCCAGCAACCACATGGTGGCTCAGAACCATTCGTTATGAGATCTGGTGCCCTCTTCTGATGTGCAGATATATATGGAAGCAGAATGTTGTATACATAATAAATAAAATCTTGAAAAAAAAAACCATTACTGTGACTACTTCAACTTTCACTACTCATTTCAATATTTGTTTGTTATATCAGGATCTATTTTCTTGAGAAGGCCATTGTAAGCAGCCAGTAATCTGGATGTATTAGCTGGGACTAATCTAAAGTAGTTAGGACCCGCTGGGAAGGAAATATTAGCTCAGTGGTTTTTTGGCAGCACTCCTGCATCACACACACACACACACACACACACACACACACACACACACATCCGTTCTCCTACAGAGGAACTAGTACCAAAGTTAATATCCTTCTGGGTAAGTTAGTAAAAAAGAGAGTGGCAGAGCACAATGGTAGAAGGAAAACCAAGGTCTAGCCATCTTGTAGACGGTACCATTTGGAGTATAACTACTAATTAGGCTCCTTAAAACCATGGAAAGAATGTTTCCTGAATCAAAACCAGCTTCTGTAATACTCTACTTGGGGGAGCAGATTTCCCAAAACAGAGAAGCCATGAGCACATTGCCCTATTTAGATTTTGGATGTTGCTTTCAGAACTTGGGTATAAACAATACTGGCCCCAGAAGAACTGTAGTTTTGGATTACATTCGGAAATTGTTATTTATCAGGAGTCTTGTGGACCAGAGAACTCAGGCCATTCTGGGGTAGTGATGGGAAAACAGCACTGAGACACAACAGATGGCAGCAGAAAGCTTTTCGGGATGGATATTTGTTTTCTAACAAGCCCTAAAAATGAAAATGAAAAGTAGATGTTACAACCAGGCAAAATCCAAACCAAGACAGGAAATACTTTACTGATAGTGTTGGGGGCGGTAATATAATTATCTTTTATTGCTGCCCATTAGCAGTATCCTTGTTACCTAAGTTGCTGGTTTGCAGCAATCTGTGTAGGGGACAGAGGGCAAAGCATCAGATTTGGGATTTCTTTTCATTTCTTTTTTTTTTTTTAAAAAAGATTTTATTTATTTATTATGTATACAGTCTTCTGCCTGCATGCCAATAGAGGGTATCAGATCTCATTCAAGGTGGTTATGAGCCACCATGTGGTTGCCGGGAATTGAACTCAGTACCTCTGGAAGAGCAGTCAGTGCTCTTAACCGCTGAGCCATTTCTCCAGCCCTAGATTTGGGGTTTCTATCGATTATGCTGGAATATAGGCATTAAGTAAAATTGAAAACCAAAGATCTAATACTGTTCCTTCCACTTCTTGCAGATAATTGCCAAAGAAGGGGTGAAGGCTATGAGTGTGCCAGAGCTACAGGCTGCCTGCCGGGCACGAGGGATGAGATCATTGGGCCTCACTGAGGAACAACTGTCGCAGCAACTCTCAGAGGCAAGTGGCACTCCAGACCTCTTCACTGAGGCTTCCTCCCTGGACCCAGGAGCCTCCTGTGGTGCTGTGTACTTTGCTAGTTGTGTTAGCTTTCCATTGCCTTGACAACTTGCATCTGAAGGCAGAGATTTATTTTGGCTCTCAGCTTCCAAGCTTTCAGCCAGTGGTTGCTTTGTCCCATTTCTCTGGCTCTATGACAGCACAGTTTATCTTACAAAATTGCATAGCAGAGAAGTCTTGTTCATTTTACTGTGGTCAAGAAGCAAAGAAAGACAAGCACGCCTTTAATCCCAGCATCTGGGAGACAGCAGCAGGCAGATCTCTGTGAGTTAGAGGCCAGCCTGGCCTACATAGATCCAGGACAGCCTGGGTTATGAAATGAGACCCCACCCTTCCCTTCAGTGCTCTAACTTCTTCCCATGAGGTCTCACCTCCTAAAAATTCCAACTCTCTAGAAGTACCATAGTCTGGTGAGCAAGCTTTCAAAACATGGTACTTGGAGGAACATTTAAGGTCCAAACAGCTAAGCCGCCATACCTAATTGGCTTTACTCCACGGGCAGTTAAACATACCCTAAAGAGGTTCACTTGTTTTCCCCTTAGATAGTGACAGGGAACCACAGTCTTCTATGCTATTACAAACCGCCACAATTGTAAATGATCACAACAGCAGCCCAGAGGTCACGAGTGCAGACTATCCTTTTCTGGGGTTTCTGGGGTAACCCACTCTGACTCCTTCAGTCTGTGGGCTGAGTCTTGGGGATAGCCCACTCCCAGACTCTTTCACTCTGTCGACTGAACCGTATTTGCTGCAGCTGTAGGGAGGAAGACCATCTTGCTTCCTCACTGGCTGCCAGCCTACTCTCAGCTCCAAGAAGCCAACTGTATTGTTTACCTCTTGGCCCTCTCTTCCATTGGCGAAATCTGCCATGTGCTTCAAATCTTGCACTTGCCATTTTTGGCCTCTAAGTCTAGTGATTAGGTAAGCTCCCTGGATCTTACCTCAGAGTAGACTGACTTGGGACCTCAATCCCATCTGTAAAAGCCCTTCAGTGAGACCATAGGCTCTCAACCTTCCTAATGCTGTGGTCCTTTACTGCAGTTCCCACCAACCATTAAATTACCCCCCCCATTACATTGTTTTGTTGTTACTTCATAACTAATTTTGCTACTGTTATGAATCATAATGTGAATATTTTTGTCTTCCCATGGTCTTAGGTGACCCCTGTGAAAGAGTTATTCAACCCCCAAAGGGGTTGAGAACCATGGATCTAGACTAACATTTGAATAACTGGGAGGTGTGTATATATGGTAGATATTGGGGCCAACTTGGAATTTGCCTACACCAAAGTAAGGTTCTTGGCAAAAATTCTCATACAAAGGGCTTTCGTTGTTGCCAGCCTGTGCAGGGACACAACCCACTTTGGCTGCTTTTCTTCTTGAGCTCCAAACCAATATACAGTGTTGGCTTTGGTAGATGTCTGTGCTGCCCATCAGAAAGCACACTTAGGTTCTAACAGCAGCAGTGCACTCGAAAACCAAGAGCAGCTTGTGTTGGGCCCTCAGTGATACTAGTGTAAAAATTACTGTAACATGTTAGGTAGCAGTTCTCCTCTTACACATTACACTAGCTATATAACTGGAAGGTGAACATTTATAGAGGGTAATCCCAGTGTACTGCAGGCTAAGGCAGGAAGAGTGCCATTAGTTGAGATGAGCTTGGGCTATATAATAGGTTTTAGGACAGCATAGGTTTCAGAGTGAGACCTTGTCTCAAGAAAATAAAAGATATTAAAAATGATAAATGTGAGCCATCTTATAGCAAAGACATGGTCACATTCACAGATCAGCTAAGTTCAGACTTTGTTACAGCTTGGCTAGAAGGATACTTCCACATTGCTAGTTGGAAAGTAAAAACCCTATGAAGATAAAATGCATCATCTTTCCAATTTAAAAACACATACACTGTCTGGCTTGGTAGCTGATAACCTGTAATCCTAGCATTCAGGAAGCTGAAGTATGAGGATCACCAAGAGTTCAAGGCCAGCCTGGGTTGTAGAAGACATGAGACCCTATCCTGAAAAACAACAGAAAATGTGGAAGCCGATAGTATCTGATGATCACCTGGAGCTTCAGTTAGAGCCAGCTGTGGGCTACCTGGTGTGGGTGCTGGAAACTGAACCCAGGTCCTCTGCAAGAGCAGAACACACTCTTAACCACTGAGTCACCTCTCCTGCCCCTGTCCTATATTTTGTTCTGTAGGCTAGCTAATATAGACCAGGTCTACCTACCTCTGCTTCCTGAGTGCTGGGATTTAAGGTGTTTACTTCCTGGCTGGAGAGAGAGAGTTCAATTCCTAGCAACCACACGGTGGCTCACAACCATCTGTAATGAGATCTGGTGCCCTCTTCTGGTCTGCAGGGACACATGCCAGGCAAACCACTGTATACATAATAAATCTTTAAAAAAGATGGTGTTTACCACCATGTTCATCCTTGCAGCACCATTTTTAATTATTAGAATTATCCCAAAGGTCATTAATAGGATTATCAAATAAAATATGACATTTTTCATATAATGGAAACTGTCCAAATATTTAAGGGGGTAGTACTGCATCAACTGACATGAATTAATTTCAAGCTATTTCAGTGGGGATAAAAAGAAAAGCACAAATAAAGCTGGCAAGATGGTTCATCTGGCAAAAACCTGACACCTGAGTTCAGATTCCAGAACCAATGGCTAAAGGACAGAATCCCTTCCAAAAATTGTCCTCTGACCTTCACACTTGGACCCACACTTGTGCATTACACACACACACACACACACACACACACCATAAAAAGCAAAGTACAAAATGGTGTATGTCGCTCATTATGTAGAGATTTCACAAAACAGTTGTGACATAGTAGCTCATGCCTGTCATCCCAGCACTTAGGAGTCTTGTGACAAGAGGATCACAAGTGAGAAGCCTGAGCTACATAGCAAAAATAAACAACAAGGGGGCTGGAGAGATGGCTCAGCAGTTAAGAGCATTGAATGCTCTTCCAGAGGACCTGGGTTTGATTCCCAGCACCCACATGGCAGCCCACAACCATCTGGTAACTCCAGTTCCATGGCAAAATACCAATGCACATAAAAAAAATTTAAGAACATTTTTCCTTTTGGTTTTTCAAGACAGGGTTTCTCTGTGGCTTTAGAGCCTATCCTGGAACTATTTCTTGTAGACCAGGCTGGTCTCGAACTCACAGAGATCCGCCTGCCTCTGCCTCCCGAGTGCTGGGACTAAAGGTGGGCACCACCACTGCCCGGCTAAAAAGAAATTAAAAATAAAAATAAATAAGGTTAAAAAAAAAAAAGCTTGGCCAGTTTGCTGCCTTAAAACCTTCATTCTAGGGCTGGAGAGATGGCTCAGAGTTTAAGAGCACTGGCTGCTCTTCCAGAGATTCTAAGTTCAATTCCCAGCAACCACTTGGGTGGCTCACAACCATCCATTATGAGATCTGGTGCCCTCGTCTAGTGAGCAGATATACATGGAAGCAGAATGTTGTATACATAATAAATAAATAAAATCTTAAAAAACAAACAAACAAAAAACCCTTCATTCTAGGCCGGGCGTTGGTGGTGCACGCCTTTAGTCCCAGCACTTGGGAGGCAGCGGCAGGCAGATCTCTGTAAGTTCCAGACCAGCCTGGTCTACAAGAGCTAGTTCCAGGACAGCCTCCAAAGCTACAGAGAAACTCTGTCTCAAAAAAACAAACAAAAAACCAAACCAAACCAAACAAACAAAAAAAAAACCTTCATTCTAAAGTTGATCTTATTGGTTAATAGGTTGTTAATTATTTTGAGACAGGCTGTTACCATGTAGCTCAGGCTGGCCTTGAACTCAGCTTCCTGCCTCAGCCTTCCCAGTCTAGATTACAGGATTCCCTGGTTTCTAGCATTTTCTTTCACACTGTCTACTTTTTGCTTAGAGAAGATTCATAGCTATTTGGATCTGGAATTGGCTGAGGAGGTTAAGTGACTGGTGTTGAGTGTTTGCTAGGTACTGGCCCAGGGGCAGAAGCCAGGAAGCTGGTGTTTTCATCCTTGTGCCACAGGTTATCAGTGTGCTTGGGAAGAGGTCCACAGGAGGGAGCTCACTATGTAGACCATAGGTCTTCCCCAGCCACAACAGTCTCTGACTCCATGTCTTGTTATCTTCCATTCTCTAGTGGCTGGACCTCCACCTGAAGGAGAATGTCCCTCCTTCTCTTTTGCTCCTGTCACGAACCTTCTACCTAATAGATGTGAAGCCAAAGCCCATCGAACTACCACCAAGTATAGAGGTAAGTGAACTAATGCCGAACCCAGATTGTCATCATTACAGACCTCTCCCAAGACCGATGTCTTCAAGTCAGAGCAGACACTACTTTGGGAATTTAGGTTGACTGGCTTTAACATCTAGTATTCTTCATTAGCAACCCCTATACTCTTCTCCTTTGACACTAATGGTTCCTTTGCTTTCCTATTTCATTTGTTCAGTTTTCTATAAATTTTCAAGTCAATAAGGGCTAATTTAGAACGTTAACTTTTTGTCTCCATTCAACTCATTAACCTCTTTTTACTTGTAGTTTTTTTGTTTTTTGTTTTTTGAAGACAGGGTTTCTCTGTGTAGCCCTGTCTGTCTTTGAACTTGCTCTGTAGACCAGGCTGACCTCTAACTCAGATCTGCCTACCTCTGCCCCCAGAGTGCTAGGATTAGAGGTATGCACCACCACTAACCTGGTAACTTTATTAATTAATTAACCAGTTAATTAATTAAATGACTGGGAGCAATGCCATAATTGCCAACTTGTTTTGTGGTTTGGGGGTTTTGTTTATTTTGGTTTGCATGTCACTGTGAAGCCGTAATTATCCTGGAGCTCACTTTGTAGACCAGGCTGTCCTCGAACTCACAGAGATCTGCCTGCCTCTGCCTCCTGAGTACTGGGATTAAAGGCATGCGCCACCACTACTTTTTCATTTTTTTAAAACAAGGTCTTACTATGTACACCTGGCTAGCCTAGAACTAAGTATTTTAAGTCCTAAAATCTAAATAGTATGCAACTTTTGTATATAGGGTGCTCAAAATTCAAATAATAACTTGCTATTGAGGGAGCATATTCAGTGTAACTCAAGGAAGGCTTAGTCTAATAAAGGGAAATGAGTTTGAACTGAAAAAAAAGAAGTAAGGCTTAGTCTACCAGGCATGGTAGTGCACACCTTTAATCCCAGCACTGGGAGACAAAGGCAGAGGAATCTCTGTGAGTTTAATCCCAGCAGAGGTGAGTTCTAGGTCAGCTAGATCTACATGGTGAGATCTTGTCTGTCTTTGACACACACACACACACACACACACACACACACACACACACACACACACACACACACAATAAACAACACTCACA